CTCTGACTTGCGAGTGGTTGAGAGAAGTCTGAGGGTCAGCCGGGACTCTCCCTCCCAGGAGCTGGCCCAGAGCTGGGGCTGATACCCAGGAGGCATCAAGAGAGTTGGGAAGGTAGGGAGGGGCTCCTCCTCGGCAGTGAGGTCACAGAGAGGACCCTGCTTGCTCAAGTCCAGGGTGGAGTGAATCACGAGATGAAGGCCAGGATACGGAATTGGGATGTCTTCCCGAAGGCTGTGGTCAACTTTTGGAGCAAGTTTGTGTGACATAAAAGCTGTATCTCCAAAGCTCAGAGAACGGAATCCCAGATCCGTAAATCCTGGTGGGGAAAGTGCCAGCAGTGTGCCATTCTTTGCCCCCAACCCCACCCCAGTCCTGTTCCCTGGCCAGTCCTGCCGGTCTCAGGCTCCTGTTCACACTGGAATGTGGAACTTGGCCACACGGGAGGCCTGAGATGGAAGAGCTCCCACCAGCTGGAACCTCAGGGGAGGGCAGTGAGTGCAGAGTCGTGGGACAGGGCGTGGATTTTGGGGGTCCCCAATGGAGGAGCGAGTTGCCAGCAGGCAGTGGTGGTCCTGGCGGAGTGGGAGCCTGGTTGGAGTTGGGCTCCCTAAAGAGAAGGTGCTCGTGCTTTTCCTGCAGTCCCTGCCACGGGACGGTGGACGGTGGGGAAGGCCAGCGACTAGAAGAAACAGGACCCGGGCCATTCTCCATCTGTGTTTACATTCTTCGTGCTCTCCAGATGGATTTTTTCTGTGATCTGACCTACTTTTCTTTAGTGTGTGCGCTTGGGCTAATTAGCAGTGCAGGGGTCCATCAGTCCTGTTTGGAGAGCGTGGCTGCTATGGCAACTGGAGACTTCTCCGAGGCCGCAGGCCAGGACAGAGCTGCTCCAGTGTGTGTTTCCTGGGGTATCAAAGATGCTTCAAAGGGCTCGCCCTTCTGAACTGTGGCTCAGTCCCTCGGACCTCACTGGCACTTAAGAGTCTCTACCAGAGTTTCTCTCTCAGTTACAGAGGTTTGCTCATCTTTCCTGTATGTGTCAGTAACCTGAGGATAGACTCATTCAGCATTTATAGGCCAGGTACATGGCAGGTGTGTTGATATGTGTTGAATTGCTAATAGTTTTAGAAATGATGGCTGCATCCGTTGATGGATCTAGCTTTCTCGGGTCTGGGAGACATCCCTGGGAGGGTTGGTAGGGGAGCCCATTGCCTAAGTGGGCTTAGCCTGCATCAGGGTCCCAGAGTATGTGTCCCAAGGTCCAAAGGCCCCAAGAGTGGCTGAGTTCGGGATCTCATTGCAGCCATGGTTAGGAGCTCCAGGGATCACTGGTTTGCTCTGGAGGGGAAATGCTCTGCTCAGGGCAGCCCAGGTGAAGTCTGGAGAACGGGCTGGGAATGAAGAGGCGGTAAGGAAGGAAGGACCAGCTGGGTCGCATGAAGGCGGTCCCTCCCGGAAGGTTTGGAGTCCACAGAAGGGAGCCACAGGCATGACATCTCTAGCCTCAGCCCCAGGTCCCCGCCCGAGTGGGTGCTCAGTGCGGGCGCACGTACCTGAGGGAGCGAGCGGTTGGAGCACTAACTGCTTGCACTTCAGTAATTCCAGATGGAATCTGTGCTTTGTCACTGTACAGACCCATGATTTAACCTTTATGGAATGATCTGGGTGGGACAGGGTGAGGTGGGGAGGAGGGGGAGGCAGTGGACAGGCAGGAGTGGGAGGGGCGGGGGGGGTGTCTGTGTCATGAGCCATCCTCGAGCATGACCGTAACCCAGGGCTGGGTCCGCAGAGCATCCGCGTGGGGTCCAAGCTAAGCAGCTTGTCTTGGGCCACCTGGGCTGCTGTGGCAAAAACGGCACCGTCTGGGTGGCACAAACAGAAACACATACGGCTCCCAGTTCTGGGGGCTGCAAGGGTGATGGCGTGGCCGGGTTCCCAGCAAGAGTTGTCTCACTGGTTTGCAGAATGCAGCCCTCTTGCTCGTCCTCACCTGGCAGAGAGGGAGAAAGGGGTGGGGGGGGGAGACCAGAGTGAGTGCACAAGGGGGGGGGGGGGGGGGGCCGGGGGGGGGGGGGGGGGGGGGGGGGGGGGGGACCAGAGTGAGTGCACAAACTTGGGACATGCACCTGCAGCCCACAGCAAGACCTTGTCCTTCCAGAACAGCTCTCCCTCCCCCCACCCCCTTTTCTCATTTTACATTTTCTGTCGGCTCAATTACTAGATGACCAAATCTGTTTCAGTTGTGTGTAAACTAAGCAGCAAGAAGTAGTCAGTGAGGGTGTGAGCCCGCTGTGCAAGCTCACCTTGTGTGGATTTGTGTGGCATCGCCGGTCCCCACGTGGCACTTGTCTCTGCCCTGGTTCTTGGGGGGTGTTTTTGGCCTCACTGAGTTGGTGGCAGCCTGTGAAGTGTCAGTGGGTCCTGACGTTAGAGTCGTTGGGACTTGAAATAAAAGCAACTCATTTTATTGCTTCTCTGTTTCCTTTATGGCACTGACTTAGGGGAAAATGCTTCTCATAAAAAAGGAAAGAAAATTAGCACTGCTCAGCACCAGTTAGAGTCCTGCTCCTGGGACCCTATGTATACACATATATTACTTGATTTAACTTCCCAATATCCTGCAAAATAGATGCTTTCTCTCTTTTGCCAGCTGGGGAAGCAGAAGATCGGGATGGTTAAGTGGTTGGCTCCAGGCCACCCCACAATGAAGGAGAAGTCAGGATTTGAATTCCGGTCTCGTTTTGAAGCTCTCTCCAATTTTTGCAGCGAACCCCTACCTGCAGGGAGCAAGGAGGATACTTGGATGGTTCTGTGCTCTCGTGTGTCACGAACGGAAAAGCAGATGGGTTCTGATTTTGCTTCTTCCCTGCTGTAGTGCCAAGTTTGGCTCAGGGCCATACTCTCCGTGCCCAGGGAAGGGGTTGCTTTCCTTAAAAAACTAAGTCTAGGTTAGGGCTTTTGGAATCTTTTGGAATCGTGATAGGGTTGCTGGGACTCCCAACTGCCCACGGGGCCCAAGAGATGGGCTATCTAGTGGGAAGCAAAGCCTCAGGGCACTGGAGGGGAACACAGGGCAGGATCCTCACACCAAGATGACACCCTGCTCTGGCAGTGAGTGATGAGAACCCAGAAGGTGCTCTCCAGAGCAAGCCTCCTCCACCCTGACAGTGACCTTCCTTGCAAGAGGGACACAGTCATTAGCCATCTTCGTGGAAATGCAAAAGTAAACCTTCTCAGCGTTTCCTGGAAATTTCATGTTGTTGCGTCCTGGGAAACAGTTTTGATTTTTCTGGCTTTTTGTTTGACACTAATCTTAAACAGGCACAGAGGAAAGGCAGCCCACCATGAAGTCTAGAACCCTTCTGACATTATGAGCTGCGGCCTCCAAAGGTCCTGTCCACATATCCTTGCCACAGTTTCAGAAAACACTCAGGGCATTGGAGGACATTTTCAGATGCTTTGAGCAGTTCTGTTTTCGTTTTGTTTTTCTTTTAGCCCCAGTTTAGATGCATGTTAAGCTCACTATGCCGTGGGGTGAAGACACACTGGGAAAGTGTAGAAGGGTTTTCAACTTACCCTCAGGGGCTCACTTTAATTCCTTTGTCTGTCTGTGTTTGGAGCTCTGAATGCTATTGCATAGAAAGCAGAGCAGGGGGAAATGCTCAGGCTCCCAGGTGTGCCCCGAACCTCTGAACCTGAGACATGAAACCCTGCCCTAACAGCTTTTGGTGAGAAGGCGCAGGGGCCCCAGCCTTGAACCTTTCTGAGGTAGCTGGAGCCAGGTGGGGGACCTGGCTAGGTGGGCATTGTTGTCCTAGCCAGGCTGTGGGGTGGGTGCCGGGGATACCACCATGGGGTGTGTTTAGAATCACAGAGATGGGCCATTGGTTGCAGGTCACAGCAAGCTGCCTTTTCCCTAGACACCTGGTGGCCTGGCCTGGGCTCATCAGCTTGCCAGGCCTACAGTTAGGATGAGCACTTGCTCAGGGCCTCTCCGTGGAGAATTCACCTGGTGGCCAAAGGTGGGGTTGCCCACCCCGTGGCAGGCCCTGTGCTGCTTTCTCTCCGCCTTGCCCACCGTCCGCATTGTGTCTGCATTGTGTGAGCAAATTGGAGGCCGGGCCTGGGCTCTCTGTGAGCAGGGAGCCAGGCCCTGGAATTGCTGTGGTACACAAGCTTCATCGGGCTCACGCCTGGCGTCGCTGCCCCCCCACAACCAAGGAGGCAGAAGCCGGCAGTGGGAAACCGCACACATCTCATCCATTTCCCACTGCAGCCTGTTTACCTGCCCTCTCCCCCTGCACACACACACCCCAGGGCCGGGAGGTTTCTTCCCCTTCCTCCTGGAAGGATGAGCCAGCCAGGGTGAGATTACCCCCACTTCTCTCTGCGGTCAGCCAGGCGGAGACCACCACACCCCTCCCCCCTGCCTCCCCCACTCCCCAGCCCACAGTGCATTTGCATTTCAAAGTCACACAATGCGGGCGGTCCGGGCGAGGCTGGGGGAGGCTGGGGGAGGCGGCGTGGGTGCCGAGGGAGGGTCTTCGCCCTCCCTCCTCCGGCCCGTTTCCGGAGGCTGCCACGGAGCTTTGTGGAGATGCAGGCGTCGGGGCGCTCGGCGGTGATGACATCACCGTGTCACACACACAAGACGGTCTGCGGAGGGGTTTAGGAGCAGCTCCGCTTGGACCACACCGGCGCTCACGCTCACACTCGCGCGCCCCGGGCAGAGCCGCGCGCGCCGGCCACACTCGCGCACATCTTAGGCGCGCGCCGGCCACACTCGCGCGCACACTTCCGCGGCGCTCGCTCCCCGGGCTCCGGCTCGGGCCCTCAGCCGCCGCTCCCCGCCGCCGCCGCCACGGATGCCCGCAGCTGCTCCCATCTGCAGTGCAGCAGCCCCGGCCGCCGGCCGGTCCGCCCCGGCTCCCGGCTGCAGGAACCGCGCCAGGACGCTGGCCCCGCTCGCGGCTAGTGTGCTCGCCAGGGCGCAGCGAGGATGGGAGGGTCGCAGTCCCTGCAGCCAGTCCCAGCCGGCGACCCGAACCTGGAGGCTTCCGAGGCAATGTAAGTGCTCCGCCGGGCCAGCCCGGAACCTCCCCCCGCCCCAACCTCCTCCCCGGGTGGAGGAGAAGCTGCCTGGGCTTTGTTAGTGTCGAGTCTCCTGATGCGGGGGCAGCCTGGAACCGCGGCGGGCCCAGGATTCCCGGCAGCCTTGCGCGGCTTTGCCTGGTGGCTGCTCCTTGTAGCATTTGGTGCTCCCTCTGGAATGGGCATCTGGCAGCCCCAGGATACTGCCCCACCCCCATCAAAGGGGGCGGGGGAGGAAATGACCCTCTGGCGGTCGATTTCAGTTCGGCAGCCCAGTGCATGTTCCGGGGCTCCTACCGTGGGCATCTTAACTCTGCACCCCCGGCACAGTGGTATTTCCTGCAGCGGAACGGCCGGGCCTCTTGGGAAGAGCCCCTGAGTGTGGCAGCTTGGTGGCCATGGAGACAGACCAGTTTAGGGGCAGCTGGTCGCGTGGCCGGCAGATGGTGTGGATCATGGCTAGTGGACATTCAGTCCTCTTAGCCTAGGCATCCACACTCACTCCGATGGACACTGTTGGGGCCGAGGCTGCTTGCTATTATTCGTGAAGCCAGCCCAAGCCTTGTCATTGGTCCGCTGGTGGAAGCCGGGTTTGACTGTGCATTGATTCAGGAACCGATCTTTTCTCTAAACCACAGAGCTGGTTTGCCCAGAAGTGGCCTTTATCCTGGCTGGGTGTTAGTTAGAATTGCCATTTCTGTATGGTTTGCTCCATTTCCTTCCCAGGCATGTCTGGAGGATGGGGCTTACTGAGCCAATCTGGCTGCCAGGGGCACCTTTCGGCAGCTCAGGCTCGTGTCCAGAGTGGGCCTTCCCATCCTAGCCTTAGCTACTCTGCTTTCCCAAAGGGAAGAATGTGTTTCAGAAAAGAGTATTTTGGGGAGTTTGGGGGTGGGGCAGTAGGTAAAGTGGTTGGTTGGTGAGAACCATTAATGTGTTGATTAAAAGATAAGCGGGGCTTGGTCTGCGTGTGTAGTAGGGACCGGGTGCCATGTGGGGCTTCCTCCTGGTCCCCGAGCCTGGGCTTCAGTGAGGAGCTGTCTCAGTGCAGTGATGTAATGCTAGGCTGAGCCTCATGGTTTTCCAGGCTCTCTTTAGCCATAGTTAGGAGCAGGTGTGCACCGATCATTTGTCTTCATCCTTGTAGCTTGGGAAAGCGTCATCTTACAATGGGAGGCCCATCAAGCTGGAGACTTTTTTTTTAATGCCATGAGCCCTGGACTACGCCCACCCTGTTTTTCGTCCATGTGTAGTATTGTTAGATGCGTGGAAATACAAACCACCGTGAAAGGTTCCAGCCTGGGCAGAAGAGAACAGTTTCAACCTATTTTTTTTTAAGTCTCTAAACTGGAAATCAGTGAATCGGCAGTGGGGGGAGTCACCAGCTAGCTGGTATCAGGTCTCACGCCTGTCAAAGAGCAGACGGGACTTGGAAAAGACAATGTGACCACATGTTTGGGAAAATACACTCCTCAGCCATTGGAAATTCAGCTCACCAGCCCCCAGTAGCCCCGCCCTCTTTCCTCATCGAGTTAACAAATGACCAGTACTCTGTTGGCTGAGGGCTGAGTTTGGGGGAGATTCTGTTTTAGGCAGAAGCTGCCTTTGGGTAAGGCCCCTGAGGTTCTGCCTTGTGGGGATAGTGGTGTTGTGGTGAATCTCCAGTGAGATGGGCCACATTGTGCTGGGAGCCACTTATCAATATTGTCTGTTGATTTCTTCCCAGTGCACCAGCCAGAGGCGTCTCTCCCAGAAGGGCTGCTTGTGCAACGTCTCTAAATATCAGTCTATAGGATAGTCATTCACAGATCCCACTCTCCATTCCCCTAACCTTTTTCTTTTGGCAATGAGGAGAGAGGGAATGTTCGGGGCTGGTGCCATGTCTAGCAACTGTCCTTCTCTAAAATCCCATCTCTGCTGTCTCAGTAATCAGAGCTTGTTTTTCCAGTACAGGGTCACTCATTTCCAGTCCAGAGGTTTAAAAAAATGTGTTAAGAGAACACCCCTTTTCTGTACAGGCACAAGCCTTTCACGATAGTCTGTATTTCCATGCGCCTAAAAACGTGCGTGTGTGAGTAATACAGAAGTCAGGGCAGCACCTGGTTCGAGGAGGAAAAAGGAGGTTCTGCTCTTGTGGGGGTTGCGGGGATGGAGACGGATTCGGGGTGCACACCTGCGGAGACACCATCCATGAAACCTGGAATCCAGGGGGACCATTTCTCCTTTTTTCTGTGGAAAGGTGGGCCTGAGCTGGGCCTGTGCAGAAGAGTGAAACCCAAGGACCAAGAGAGGCAAGATGATCTAGAAGTGCCTACAGGAATTTTGTTAGTTCCAGGATGTCTTTCCTTCTGATTTCAGGTTTGGGGGGGCCTTTGGGCAGCTTTTGTAGCCCCAGCTGGTGGTGTCACTCTGTACAGAGTGCAGTCTGGTAAGTGGGCAGGGGTGGGGTAGGTGAGTCCTGGGTCTCCTGCTTGGCCTGGAGGAGCAGGAAGGCCCCTGGTGCTGGGAGGCGGGGCAGGGGCTTGGAAGCTCTAGCACTTACCCTGCCTTTGCTCCTCCCAGGGTGGTCCCCAGACTGCTGCATCAGCTTCTCTCCGGGGCTTGTTACAGATGACCTCAGCGCCCCCCCCCCCCCCCCCCCCCCCCCCCCCCCCCCCGCCCCCACCAGACTAGCTGAATCCAAATCTCCACTTAGCTGGAGTTGTGTGTTTTTTTTTTAAGATTTTTTATTTATTTATTTGACAGACAGAGATCACAAGTAGTCAGAGAGGCAGGCAGAGAGAGAGAGAGAGAAAGAGAGAGAGAGAGAGAGAGAGAGAGGAGGATGCAGGCTCCCTGCTGAGCAGAGAGCCCAATGCGGCGCTCCATCCCAGGACCCTGAGATCATGACCTGAGCCGAAGGCAGAGGCTTTAACACTGAGCCACCCAGGCGCCCCAGGTTTTTTTTTTTTAAGATTTTTTTAAAAATTTATTTGACAGAGAGACAGAGATCACAAGCAGGCAGAGAGGTAGGCAGAGAGAGGGTGGGGAAGTAGGCTTCCCGCTGAGCAGAGAGCCCAATTAGGGTCTTGATCCCAGGACCCTGAGATCATGACCTGAGCCACTGAGCCACCAGGTGGCCCTAACCAGAGATTTGTAAAGATGCCAGGTGAGCTATATGTAGAAAAGGGAGTTTGAGAAGCGCCGATCTAGCTAGGCGTCTCCGTCCTGGTCCCTGAGGAACTCTGACCACTTCTGGGCTGCTTCTTTGCTGTCCGGGAAAGAAGGTCTGGTAGCAACAGTAGCCCCTGTTTCCAAACAGAACAGGAGTAGCTGGGAGAGAAGAAATCCTCTGCAGAAAACACTCCTTCCCCGCGTGGATGGCTGGACAGTGGGGGGGCGGGGTGGGGGAGGGGGCAGGGGGAGGACAGGAAGTGCTCCAGGGAGCGTGGCAGCGGCTGTGGGTCAGACTGTGTGGGTCAGACTGGCCGATCCTGCCTGTGCCTTCCCTCCCTGACAGCCCCTTGTGGCTCAGCTTCTGCTAAGTGCAGCAGCAGGAAGTACTTTACCCTTTGTGTAGTTGGAGCCCCCCCCCCCTTTCCCAGGCCTCCCGATCAGCTAGGGGAACCCATGCCGCCCATGCTCCTGTAGATCAGAGTAGGAGGGCCAGGCCAGGTGGAGAAAGGCGAGGAAGCCAGAAGCAGCCGCTTTGGTGGGGGTGGGGGGGGTGGGGAAGGTTGCACATGGTGGCAGGGACGCAGTGAAGGTTTCTCGCTCCTCTCGGACTAAGAGAACGATGTGGCCTTTGCCAGGACAGGAGAACTGGATTGGGAGCCTGGGGGAAAGTTGATGAGTTTGGGCTGGGGTTTGACAAGCAGGTGGGATGAGAACAGTGGCCAAGCCAGGGATAACTTGTGGGTGGACCTCATGGGGCGGGGGGTGGGGGTGGGGGACAGACCTGTGCACCCATCTGGGTCACAGATGAGGAAGCAGAGACTTGGGCCCTTCCTTTTCCTGTGGCTCCCGATCCTCCGTCCTCTCTTCCCAGGTGGGAGGCTGTTGAGAAGCCTGTGACCAGTTCAGCCCCACCCGCCTCCCAGGGTTTCTCAGAGGGGAGGACCCTTGTCTGTGAAGACTCAGAAGACAAGAGCACCGGGCTGTGACAAAAGTGGGGACACTATGTGCCTGGAAATTGCTGTCATTTCAGTAGCTCAGAAGGGGCCGGAGAGGGCTGTTGGAGCTCCTGATAAAGATCAGTCTTTAGGCCTCCCTGGATCTTTCTTGAGGTGACTCTTGGCAAAGTCATTTCGCTTAAATGACAGCATCCCTGCTGTGGGCTGCAGGCGGCTGTCCAGCTCCAGGAAGCGCCTTTCACTTTGTATATTAGCACTGGATGAAATTTAGTAGTTTTGTTCCCCCGACCCTGAATAAGCTGCAGAGTTCTCCGAAGGCTGGGTGTTGCCCAAGTCCTGAAGGAACCTGCTGGGGGCTCTTAGTTCATGTTGCTGGGACAAAAATACCACAGCTGGGGGCACTTCAACCCTGATGGCTCTGGGTTCTGGGGGCTTCAGGTCCCGGGAGGTCATGGTGCTGATAGATTTGGTGTCTGGTGAGGACCTTCTTCCGGATTTACATATGGTTGTGCCCTCCGTGCTTCCCTGGCCGCAGCAAAGGGAGCAGAGATTTGTGGTGGGGGAGCGAGGGGAGGAGGATAGTGGAGGAAGGAGAGGAAGTACGGGGGACAGTGGGGGCGGGGAGAGGGAGAGATCTGTGTCTTCTTTGAAGGACGCTGACACCATTCATGAGGACTCCACCCTTGTGACCTAATTACTTCCCACAGGTGCCACGTACAGATGCCAACACACTGGGGATTAGAGTTTCAACAAATGGATTATTGGGGGGGGGGGTTTGCAAAAACATTGAGTCCAATAGCAGGTGCTTTTCCTCGGCTGTCGTTCCTAGATGTGTCCAGTATGGCCCCTGTGGCCCTTTACTGC